ACACGAGCACATAAAAAATCCAAGAATGCCTAGTAAAGTTTTTTTTGTGTGTTTTTTAATCAACATTTCTTCAAAGGAATGTATTAGTTGTTTAACCCTTTTAAAGGCATGTATGCAGGAGGGAAAACAAGAGAGGGGTCGTGAGAGGGGGAGGGGGGGATGGAGGGATGGACAGAGAAAAGAAAACATCACACACAAACATGGTGTTTTACAAACGTCTGAACACATCACTGGAGAGGAATGGAGGTCTTTAAAGTGGCCGCCATCCGCTGGCTATTGGCACAGAGAAACACGTACACACAACTGAAGCGTTCTCTAAAAAAATACACACTTTGTGGCTCCGTCCCCGCTTGTGTCTGCGTATACTGGTCCCAGCGTTCGTGGCGAAAGCAAGTGCACAAAGAACCGCTCGATGTGAAAGACAGAAGATGGACCTTTCTGGGGCCAGATGTTCGATAAACGAGACCTAAAAAAGGGAGGATGGTGAGCAGAGAGAGTTTGTGTCTCCTCATGTGTCCTCGAACGTTCCCCTTCCACGTCGGTCCATCTCTGAACGATGTCCACGTGTGTTTCGGACATATTCGCACACCTGCACGCACACACACGTATCCAAGTCCATGCGCACAGGGGCAGAGACATGGCTTACGCTGATTGTTTTAGTAAATGCAACATAATTCGAACAGAAACCGAACGCTTAAATATGTATGAAACAGCTCACGAATACAACAGCGCCGAACAAATGAAACACCTCCACGTTTTAGGCAACTTGATATTGAAGTAACAAAATCCAAATTTGCGTGTAAGAAGAAAACATCAATGTGACAGGAAAACAATGTCGTCTTTTTTTTTTTTACTCACAGTCTCGATGCACCAGCGTGATACAAAACTAAATGCTTTTTGAGAGACAAATATTGAAGCTTTCTAGGCAGATTGAAAACAGTAACAGATTGTTCAAGTCCCGACGTCACAAATCACATCTGCAAAATAAGACCCCTAACATATTCGGGTATGAATGGCTTGTTATTATGTGCGTGTGTATGCGGTGTATTTCTTAGCGATAACATTCTTTTACACGCATTCAAAACACACAGTGACAATGGCAGTGAAAAAGAACACAATCTGTACTCCCTATAAGGCCAGAAACATATTCTACGCAAGTATGCAAGCAACACATTAGTTTAGCTGTTTTCAGACTAGCATACTAGCTTACTACTCTTACTATAGAGCCCTGCTCATTACATGCACAACAAGTGGCAGTGAATTTAGAATTTCTTCCCATTAAAAAAGGCCATGTTTTATTCATTTGCATAATTTTTCATTAAATTGTGATCACAATATTAATAAGATAGTTTGTTTTCCCCCTGCATGTCGCTCCATATTATGGAAGCCTGTTTCCGCCACTGAATTAAAATAAATAAATAAATAATTGCGACTTTTTAATCTCACAATTGATCGATATGAAGTCAGAATTGTGAGAAATAAAGTCGCAATTGCAAGATATAAAGTCGCAATTGCGTGTTATAAAGTCAGAATTGCGAGATATAAAGTCAGAATTGCGAGATATAAAGTCAGAATTGCGAGATATAAAGTCAGAATTGCGAGATATAAAGTCAGAATTGCGTGTTATAAAGTCAGAATTGCGAGATATAAAGTCAGAATTGTGTGTTATAAAGTCAGAATTGCGTGTTATAAAGTCAGAATTGCGAGATATAAAGTCAGAATTGCGAGATATAAAGTCAGAATTGTGTGTTATAAAGTCAGAATTGCGTGTTATAAAGTCAGAATTGCGAGATATAAAGTCAGAATTGCGAGATATAAAGCCACAATTGCGAGATATAAAGTCAGAATTGCGTGATATAGTCGCAATTGCATGTTATAAAGTCAGAATTGCGAGATATAAAGTCAAAATTGTGAGATATAAAGTCACAATTGCATGTTATAAAGTCAGAATTGCGAGATATAAAGTCAGAATTGTGAGATATAAAGTCAGAATTGCGAGATATAAAGTCGCAATTGTGAGATAGTCAGAATTGCGAGATGTAAAGTCAGAATTGTGAGATATAAAGTCAGAATTGTGAGACATAAAGTCAGAATTGCGAGATATAAAGTCAGAATTGTGAGATATAAAGTCAGAATTGCGAGATATAAAGTCAGAATTGTGAGACATAAAGTCAGAATTGCGAGATATAAAGTCAGAATTGCGAGATATAAAGTCAGAATTGTGAGATATAAAGTCAGAATTGCGAGATGTAAAGTCAGAATTGTGAGATATAAAGTCAGAATTGTGAGATATAAAGTCAGAATTGTGAGACATAAAGTCAGAATTGCGAGATATAAAGTCAGAATTGTGAGATATAAAGTCAGAATTGCGAGATATAAAGTCAGAATTGTGAGATATAAAGTCATAATTGCGAGATATAAAGTCAGAATTGTGAGATATAAAGTCAGAATTGCGAGATATAAAGTCAGAATTGTGAGATATAAAGTCAGAATTGCAAGATATAAAGTCAGAATTGCGTGTTATAAAGTCAGAATTGTGAGAAATAAAGTCGTAATTGCGATATGTAAAGTCAGAATTGCGTGATATAAAGTCAGAGATGCGAAAAAAGACAGAGGTGCGACTTTTTATCTCACAATTCTGACTTTTTTTCTCACAATTGCGAGTTTACATCTCACAATTCTGACATCTTTTCTCAGAATTGTGAGATATAAACTCGCAATTGCGAGTTATTAGGCTAATTCTAAGGGCGAAAAAAGACTAACTTTTTTCCCCCTCAGAATAGTTTAAATCTCACAATTCTGACTTTATATCATGCATTTCTGACTTTGTAACACGCAATTGCAACTTTATATCTAGCAATTCTTACTTTATATCTCGCAATTTCTATCTTTATAACACAAATGCGACTTTATATCAAGCAATTCTTACTTTTTATCTCGCAATTCTTACTTTTTATCTCGCAATTCTGACTTTATAACATGCAATTGCGACTTTTTATCCCACAATCCTGACATTACATCTCACAATTGTGAGGAAAAAAAATCCGAATTGTGAGATAAAAAGGTCGCAATTACCTTTTTTATTTTTCATTCTGTGGCGGAAACAAGCTTATAGCTCATTTCTAATTAACTAAAACTAGAAAAACTCTGCACTCATAATAGTAGCTTATTAGTATGCCATTTTTGAATTTCAGAACAAATAGTACATACTATATGATATAACCAGCTTAGTGAGATTGGCTGCATCTCTTGAATAGGTGCTTATTTTGAATAAGTAATTATTTCACAGCCGCTAAAAAAGTATGTTCTAGTATGAGTGTGTGTAGTATGAATGTAATGGATTCGCTATGTTGTCATTATCATGTGATCGCTTCACTGCCATTCATAAATAAAGTGAAGTAGGTCATCCGTGAACTTTTTGCCTACTCTTTTACGAGTACTGTGAATTCTGACATGCTACATTGGTCACATACTGTTTTTCATCTACTATATAGAAGGGAAGCCTATGCAATTTCGGATGCAGCCATTGTTTCCCAAACTGTAGAAGAAGACTAGTTTATGCTAATACTTGCTATAGCGCGCACATTGAGAATGCAATTGAATTTGAAAGACGTTTAAAATCACGTAATAATTGAGTTCTGACACATGCTAGAAGCGTTTGCATTCACATACTTGCATAGAGTATGTTGCAGGCCTACGAGAGAGATTTTCATTGGCACTAACTGAGATAAACACACAGCTAGTTACAAAGCTGCAATAATTGTGTGTGTGTGTGTGTGTTAAAGAAAGAGAAAGGCAAAGAGAGGAGAGAAAGAGAATGCGAACGAACAATGCTAATCACGGCGTTTGTTGAGGTAACCAGCATATACGCCCAATCAGAATGGCTTTTGATTGAGATTTGGAGGTGTGTGTGTGTGTGTGTGTGTGTGTGATGAAAATCTCTTTACAAGAGCTTTTCTGTGTGCCATGGCCATTGAATCGATCTCCGAGTATGTGTGTGTGTGTCCGAACACGTCTACATTAAATTGAGACGAGCCCGCAGATACTCAAGAATTTGAAACGAGTCTAGAAATATTTCCACTTCACTTCATGTGAACAAAAAAGAGCACTGTGTGTCTGTAAAAGAGTAATTCTGTGTGTCCATCTATCCTGTTGTCCATCTGAGAGAATGAGTTCCTTTCTTCCCCTCATCTGTCTCTTTGTACCTCAGAAGACCACCGAGCCCAGATCTGCCTCTTCCACCGTTTCAGACGAGTTTAATAAAAACCTCTTTCCTCCTTTAAGCATCTTTCAACTTTTCTTCTCTTTCTCCACCTCCCCCTCCCTTATTTTTTTCTTTTAATGTGATTCTTCCATAGTTTCACAGTCGTTCTAGAAGTTTCCTCGCTCGTGCGTTTGCTTTCCCAACAGGCGGTGTTCGCATTCTTTTCTTTTTATTTCACCCCCCCCCCTTCCTCTCTGGGTTTTTTCCCTTATTTCCAAACGTCTTTAAAAATAATAATAAAAAAAGCGTTCTCGGATTGTTCTACCTCAACACATTCACAAACGAGGTCTAGCTTCAAAACTACATCAGAGTACAAGGAGCTATAAAAATATATGTGTAGAACGGAGGAGACTCCTGGGAAAGGGGAAAACGAGGGGGAACCAAACAAACTTGGTTTCTGCAACAAAATGAAAAGCATTAAATTAATTTACAACTCATCAAAGGGAAAGAAACAAGGTCAGCGTGTCATAAAAAAATAGGAAAACAAAAATTAGGCCTAGCAAACCGTAACTTTACATGGGAGAAAAACAATAAAAAAATCAAAAAATTATTTTACGGAGTATTCATATATAATTATAATCTATGTGTTGAAAGCGATAAAAAAACTTTTTTGATGTTCGCTCATATTTTTGTGTTTTGGTTTTGAAACAGTCTAACAAACACACGCGCCCTTGCTCACGCTAACACTGTACTCAATCACACACTCATCCACGCACAAAAACACTCGCGAGTCGCATTGAAGCCCGCCGGTCGCAACGTGCGCGACTGCAGTGTTGGAATATTTATCCTACACACTCACAAAATACACACGTTATTAAAATATACAAGATTCTCCACGCCACTACGACTCCACCAATCAAACACATGGGTCCTAGATCACGTGACTGCAGCCCTGCGTGACGATTGGCTGAGTTAATGGCCCCTCCCCCATCACGAAGGAGTTTAATACAAACTAGACTGCTATTTGTGAGTAGATGTAGCATTCGAAGTCAGAGTTCACGTGTTGTCTTTGTAGGTTTGGACAAGGTTTCCTTTTCTTTTTTTTCTTTTTTTGTGTTTTTAAAGTCTGTATTTTTGCAAGTACATCAGAAAAAGTTTTGATGCTTGTGCTCCAGAAAGCACCCCATAAAAGGAGTCTATGTTTTTTCAGTTGGGCTGAATCACTCCAGGAGGTTTTCTCGAGCTTTAAGATCTTTTCCCCATGTGGGACGTCAGAGAGAGGGAGGCCCTCACAACAGGACATCCTCTCTCTCTCAACAAAAGGCCGAAGTTGGGGGGAGTGACGAGGAATGATAACACACACACACACAGACACACTCCACCAGGAATGGTTAGTGTGTCGGAGAAATGCGTGTAAAGGTAAATGGGGATGCAGACTGTAGGGGGCGGGGCATGTGGGGCGTGGCTTAGGTAGTCGTTTAAGGTGGGTGTGGTCTTGGCGGATGTTGTCGGTAAGGTCGTCTCCGGTTCTCATACTTTATAGTAGATGTTGGCAGGACTCTGAGGAGGCATCTCCTGCACGATGTAGACCGGATGGCCGTAGTCCCCGCTCACTTTCTCGTAGTGCGGGCAGTAGGCGGAGTCAGAAGTCCGCAGCGGGATGATGATGTCGCTAGGCTCGGAGCCGTTGTTGTTGCCGCCTCCTACGCCCCCACCGCAGCCCCGCTTGGGCGAGGTCAGGGAGGACAGGGAGAGGGGAGGGTGGTGCGATTCTGAATGCTTGGCATGTCGGCGCCGGTAGCACACCACGCAGATCACGGCGGTCACGAGCAGGAGGAACGCCGAACCGCCGGCCGCACCTGCGATAACCGCGATGTTGGAGGGAGGGAGGGGGCCGTTTTCACCACCGGGACTTCTGGGAGGAATTCTGGGATGTGTGTTGTTTCCAGCACCTGCAAAACAAAGTGAAGAATTTGATCAATTCCAGATATTTAGGGCCCTATTTTAACGATTCAAGCGCATGGTCTAAGTGCACTTAGGGCGAGTCCGAATCCACTTTTGCTAGTTTAACGACGGGAAAAATGGTCTAAAAGGGTTGTCCCTATTCTCTTAATGAGTAATTGTGTTTTGGGCAATAAACTAATCAGTGTCTCATCTTTGATTCCCTTTATAAGCCAGCTACTTTCAATGGGCACAAATGCATTTGCTATTTAAACAATTTGGTGCAGGACGTTAAAAATGATAAAATGATAACTGCGTTGGGCTGAAACTAGCAAAAATCGCTTGCGTCGCGCCTGGAGCCGCATTGCATCGGGTGTACGATAAAGCCAACATGACACTCCATATATATGCGACCTGCTCCAACATTTTTAATCGTTATGACTCCGCTATAAATGATTTAGAGATATAATAATTTAAATGGTGGCTGTCATAAAAAAATTGTCTTTTTTTTTAAGTATTTTTTGAATAGAGGTTACAGATTTATTCTAACAGACTATCATCCAAATTAATACTTTAATTCAACAAGGACGCATTAAATTGATCAAAAGTGACAGTAAAGACTTTTATGCAGTTACAAAAGTAAAATTTTCTGAACTTTTTATTTAAAAGTACTGTACTGGTAAAAACAGGTAAAAAATAAAATGCATGTATTTAATATTTATTGGATTTTTATATATTATTATATTATATTTATATATTATATTTTTATTGCATTTATTAGCTATGGACACTGAATTAGTTTCAGCAGTGCAGTTTAAGTGACAAAACCACATTTATGCTCTGAATATCATGATAAAAATGGCAGTTTGAAAAGAACGGATCAAAACTTAAAATGATGGAAGTCACATATTGCTTCCTTGAACAAACTTCAAACAAGCCCCATAAATTGACGGCTCTTGGCTAAGCATAGTTTTCTGAAGTTCATTGCTTTTTGTCAGGGAAACTTTCTGGATCGCATTTGGTGATGACACCCATTAGTGAGATGACCACCTTTAACTTGTTCCCGTATTGGAGCGTGGACTCAGAGAAGTGCCCTCTGACACTTACATGAGTATTAGTCTGATGTAGCGGGTTCATTAGCGCAGCCTCCGGCATCGCCTATCCCCACTTCGCCATCTGATGGGCTGGTTAATGACTTTAACCAATCAAATGGAACAAATGAAACAGGACCAGTCATCTAACCCCTTGATTGGCTTGTTCGTGTCCTTAACAGATCAGACTGAACCAATTAGAGCCCTCCGTGTTCACTCAAACTGTCAGAAATCAGAATAAAGTTGGAGGATGTTGTAAAGTACTGGACTTTTCTCTGAACTCACTGACCAGTGACTCAGATCACAGCGAGTCAAGGTGGATTGGGTTTCCGCAAACATGCGCGTTTTGGCACGTTTAAACCTGTGGTCAGCCGCTGTGGTCTGGCAATGGAGACGTGAACCACAATCATCAGACCGTTGAGTTGAAAAAATGTGTATTTGGATACAGCACGAAAGTGACACAAATGCCAGACAAAAGGTCTATTCACATGGAGAGCAAACTGGAAAAAACTCCCATAATCAGGCAAAGTTGTGTCTCCAGTATGAATAGTTTCATAGAAGTGCTCTGTTTTTTAATTCAAACTTGTTGTGTTTCGTGAATATCCATGCTGAATATTTCCTCTGTGTGAATGGGCCTTTACAGTACTTGCAGACGAGGCTTCACAATGAATTATTTTTAATACAGCAACAGTTTTTTTGCTGCTGAAAGTTGTTTATCGTTAATTTTTTTTTTTTTGCCCTAAAAGCTGTTAAACACTCAGAGGACACACCAGGGAGCAGCCGCTCTAAATGTTCTCTTAAAAAACATAATAAATATCCTTTTTTTTGCTACACATGGAAACACGAGCTGTGGTTTATGGACTGCCGCTTTGCACACACCGGAACCGAGCATTTAGCCTCTTCTATGAACAACAGCTGAGAGAGCATTTTAATAGATGTGGGATCTATGAGGCTATATTAGTCATTTATCTTTACATAACGGGATTATGGCGTGTGGGAGGCATTTCGCAGGGGAAATGAAAGCCAATCTAAACGCTGTGGCTTGATTGGGCTCTTTAAGATGAAGGAGCGAGTACAAAACCTCACAATAGAGATGTGCTAGATAACCACCACATGGTCATTCTCAAAGGTCAACTGGCTTACTATATAAAGCATTTATTGCTTGGTTTTACAGACAACACTAAAGCCTAGTCTCAGACTAAAATGCATGTTTGAGCTGTCTTATTTGCACTGACATATCTTAAAAATATGTCAGAGCCTTTGTTTTGTCTCAAGGTGCATATTTTAAGTCTAAGGAACATTTATAAAAACTACTTTCTTAGTCTAAGCCCTGTCTGTGAAACCAGGCCTGTAGGAGTTTCTTTCTTTTGTATGTCAACATGGAAAAAGAGCTCAATGAATGTAAACATATGACTTGGGTGGTATATTCAAAGTCTTCTGAAGACATTTGATAGCTTTGAGCTTTAATTTAAGGGGTTTTTGGAATGGAAATCTTGCCCTTCATCGCCATATCATGTTTGGTAGCAAATTGGTAGCTTGAAATGGCAACTGATATAAATTTTTCTCAGAATAAATACTTCTGATTGCAACATTTGAAACATGCAGTTTCTGGAAAGCTGCTTTGAAACAATATGTACAAATTGTGAAAAGTTTTGAAACTGAAATTGTGGTGTTCACACAAATCGTGTGTATGGCTTCGAAAGACAAGAGATATAGGAGTTATTTTTATGTTATTTTTGACAGAGTGTTGTCATTATATACTTTTAGTGTATGTATGTTTAATTAGCAGTTTGAAGATTCATCAAAAAATAGTCTTATTTTGTGTTTCACATAACAAAGACTTGGTATTTTGGCGGTGAACCTTTCCTGAAGGCTCACTATAGCTCACTGGCAATGGGAAACAGATTGGAAAGGTACAACCGGTTTGATTACACACACACACACACACACTTTAAATACAAGACATGGAACAAATGACCATTGTGCTGAGTTAGCTTAGCTGGACATGGCTGATGTTTCAGTGCGTGTGTATGTGTGTGTGCAGTTGTGATCTCTACGGGAGACAATGAGAGCCCCTGCTGAGCGAGGGAATGGTCGGAAATATAGGGATCTGTCTGCAGGCGCTCTCAATTGGCCCATCATTATTCTTGACACAATTCCCTCGTTTTCTCTCTCCATCCCTCACTCCTTTCCTCCTCCTCCACCTCCGCTCCATGTCTTTATGACTGTCCGTGTTATTTGTGCTCGTAATGACCTGGAGCCCCTAAACCCACCCATACACTCCACCACTCCAAATGATGATAGACAGAGATAGACAGACGGACAAACGGACAGATGGACAGATGGATAGATGGATAGACAGGCAGAATGACAGAATGATAGATAGATAGATAGATAGATAGATAGATAGATAGATAGATAGATAGATAGATAGATAGATAGATAGATAGATAGATAGATAGATAGATAGATAGATAGATAGATACCTGTAGATAAACACATAGATAGATAGATAGATAGACAGACAGACAGACAGACAGACAGACAGACAGACAGACAGACAGACAGACAGACAGACAGACAGACAGACAGACAGATAGATAGATAGATAGATAGATAGATAGATAGATAGATAGATAGATAGATAGATAGATAGATACCTGTAGATAAACACATAGATAGATAGATAGATAGATAGATAGATAGATAGATAGATAGATAGATAGATAGATAGATAGATAGATAGATAGATACCTGTAGATAAACACATAGATAGATAGATAGATAGACAGACAGACAGACAGACAGACAGACAGACAGACAGACAGACAGACAGACAGATAGATAGATAGATAGATAGATAGATAGATAGATAGATAGATAGATAGATAGATAGATAGATAGATAGATAGATAGATAGATAGATAGATAGATAGATAGATAGATAGATAGATAGATAGATAGATAGATACCTGTAGATAAACACATAGATAGATAGACAGACAGACAGACAGATAGATAGATAGATAAGCTTTGGCAATATTGTAATATGTACAGTCATGCCAATAAAGCAATTTGAATTGATAGATTGATAGATAGATAGATAGATAGATAGACAGACAGACAGACAGACAGACAGACAGACAGATAGACAGATAGATAGACAGATAGATAGACAGATAGACAGATAGATAGATAGATAGATAGATAGATAGATAGATAGATAGATAGATAGATAGATAGATAGATAGATAGATAGATAGATAGATAGATACCTGTAGATAAACACATAGATAGATAGACAGACAGACAGACAGACAGACAGACAGACAGACAGACAGACAGATAGACAGATAGACAGATAGATAGATAGATAGATAGATAGATAGATAGATAGATAGATAGATAGATAGATAGATAGATAGATAGATAGATAGATAGATAGATAGATAGATAGATAGATGGATAGATAGATGGATAGATGGATAGATAGATAGATAGACTGACAAACAGATAGATAGATAGATAGATAGATAGATAGATAGATAGATAGATAGATAGATAGATAGATAGATAGATAGATAGATAGATAAACACAGATAGATAGACAGACTGACAAACAGATAGATAGATAGATAATGAGACACAATCTCTTCCTCTGATTATATGGAAAGGAAAGAACAGAATAAGACACGAGGCCCCATCCGTGTGCTCCCAAATGTCATACAAGTGCAAACAAAGAGTGTGAGTAATTTTCTCATTCTATCATCCTACACTAATCATCCTCCTCTCCCTCTCATTTTCTGTGTCTTTCTTCCTCTCAGGACCAACTAAACCCAGGCCGCTAAACTAATGGCATTAATACGTCTCCGAAACGATGGCGCTCTCCTCCTCTCATCCTTTATCCTTCCCCGAGCGGCCATTACCTCCAGCGCATTCTGCCTCCGGTTTACAGCTCAGGCCTGCGTGGAAGAGCAGGACAGGGGGAAACAGGGGGAACGTGAGGAGGAGAGAACAAACAGAAGGGTGGAATATATCAAAAATAACCAAAGCGCCAAGACGCCTGTTTCTCTCTATCCATCTGTCGCTTCCTTCCCTTGTTCCTTTGGTTAGTTCTGTTCTTTTATTAATGTTGTGTCTGTTTGGGATGAGCCGTATCCTCAGGATACTGAAGGCAGCTGTGTTTACCTGGATTTGGGTTGTTGATGCGGCCCGCGGGGTCGGGTTTGGGAGATTTGGCCGGCAGACCATATTGACCTATGGACAAACCATTGAGAAAGAGTTCAGAAGTAATTAGAAATGGTAGTAGTGTTACTGTTTTACTGTATTTTTGATCAGATAAATGCAGCCTTGGTGAGCATAAAAGACTAAAAAATCTAGTCTTTTGACCAGTGATGTGTAAATCAACTCTAGTTGACACTAATTCATATGCAAAGATATTAACCAATCACCAAGAAGGCTATTTGCATAGGTCTTAAAGGAGTAGTTCACATTTAAAAAAAACTTTTGCTGATAATTTACTCACCCCAATGTCAACCAAGATGTCCATGTCATTCTTTCTTCAGTCGAAAAGAAATTAAGGTTTTTGATGAAAACATTCCAGGATTTTCTCCATATAATGGACTTCAATGGGAACCAAACGGTTCAAGGTCCAAATGAGTGTTTCAGTGCAGCTTCAAAGGGCTTTAAACGACACCAGACGATGAATAAGGGTCTTATCAAGCGAAACGATCGCTCATTTCAAAAAAACAAATAACAAAAGTTTAAATTTTATAAGCTCAAATGCTCTGTTCTGTAATGAGCATTCGTGACTCTCCTGTTCAAACTCGTTCATCAAAATGAACAAATCTTTTTTCGAGTCATGACTCCTTGATAAGACCTGTATTCATCGTCTGGTGTCGTTTAAAGCCCTTTGAAGCTGCACTGAAACTCTCATTTGGACCTTGAACCATTTGGTTCCCATTGAAGTCCATTACATTGAGAAAAATCCTGGAATGTTTCCATCAAAAACCTTAATTTCTTTTCGACTGAAGAAAGAAAGACATGGACATCTTGGACGACATGGCGGTGAGTAAATTAACAGCAAAAGTTTTCTTAAAAGTGAACAACTCCTTTAACCCTTTCACACGTAAGTTTAAAATATTCTAACTGACCCCCCAGCGTGAGTTTTTCAAGGCGACCGTTATTTAGAACTTGCCACTTTAATGTTTCCATGGTGACGCGTCATTGCTTGTCACGTGACACAGCACAACCAGAACAGAGCGCGGAATGAATGACGATCTGCTTTTATGTCATTTTTCCTTTTTTATTAAAAATATTCAAAAATGTATTAGCTATATCATGAAACACTGATATTCCGATTGTCAAATATGTGCAAGTGGATGGGTTTTGTTGTTTAGACATCTTTATAACGATCGCGTTAGTTGAGCTGTATGCACAACGGGCGGCGCCATTTTAGTTTCGTTTTCAGTTCAGAGAATCGGATCTGTTGGATTTATAACGTCAATTCATCAACTTCTCACGAAATACATGATAGTAAGTGGCTGGTGAACTGGGAGAAGAATAGGATCAAATGTTAAGCTACTTACACAATGTGTATCTGATATGAATAAAACGTGTCGTTATTATAATTGAAAGGATTATTATTGCCGCTTCCATAGACATCTGTGTGCATTTTACAAACTCAAAATCATTGTTTTGCTAGTAGTACATATGTGTATTTAAATGTCTGAAACCTAAAATAAACATTATGTGGTTGAAAACACTCAATAGTTGTGATATATGACAGCACTGAGTGCGTCTGTCTCTGGCTGAGCGCCAGCCAACGCGCGAGAGCAAGTTTGAATTTAGCAGTTGCTGACGTGTGCACTGAACGTTCTAATCACACCGGTGTGATCGTACGCTCCAGGGACCAGCCAAGACTGATCACACCGGTGTGATCGTACGCGTGAAAGGGTTAAAGGTACAGTAGCAAAGACAACCTGATTATTTCTAAAGGTCACAGAGAGGTCCTGTACATCTAAATTACAACTTTAAGGAAGATAATAAATAGTAAAAGTGCAGAGTGTTGTCCCTTTAAGACGCATCACGCCATAATGTTGCTGTTGAGGGGCAACCACTGAGGTTACAAACACTTCAGACAGCAGACAGACATTTCACTCACACACACACACAGTCATCTCTGAGCTTATGGAGAGCTGTCACACTTGTCAAAATGCCACGACAGTGTGTGTGTGCAGGCACATCTCATCAGATATCTTCAACCGAAACGGCTTTTATTTAGATGACAAACAAAACAGACGTGACCTTTCAGCCACGAAGCAGATAACAACTACAGTGAGAGAGCAAGAGGGAAAAAGGGGGAAAAAGAACAGGATTTTTAAGTAAAGTCAGTAATGTTTCTGGGGGCAAAAAAATGATTTATAGCCAAAGATTGAGACGGGAAAACAATGAAATGTTTCATATCTATGTTCAATCCTCTTTCATTCAACAGTGTAGTGTGATAGGCATGACTGATAAATAACTCTAAACTAAACAGACACGTGACGAGTGTGTGTGTGTGTGTGTGCAGTTACGGCTCATGGAGTTGTGTCCACAGTCTGTTGGGATTCACTTACCGCTGTTGTCCTGAGTTTAATAATAAAAACTAACAAGGGTACTACAGAGTTTGTGTTTGTGTGTAAACACCAGCTATTGGTCACGAGCGTGGTCATCTGTGCCACTGAGAGAAACGCAAATCCAGCATCCGTAACTGTTTCAGGCGAACAACCCCCTGGCTTTGTCTGCCGATACGCTCCCAAGAGCATGTGTGTGTGTGTGTGTGTTACTCACTCTGTCCCACTTTCAGCACCACCTTCATGCCCTGTGTAGCACAAACTCCTCCTCTCATGCTCTCCAGCCCCTGACGCGTCCCGTCCGATGTGGCTGTTAAAAGAAAAGGAGAGATTTTATTATTTTTATATCATACACACAGCAATGAATCAACCATTCGAAAAGGGACTTCTTAATGTGTTTATTTAGTCTTTTATGACATTTTCTCAAGTAAATATAAAATACACAGAGAAATATATATTTAAAAAACAGATAAATATTTAAAATGCAACACTGCATAAAATATTCAGCATTGTTTTCATAGATTGCATCTCGAATGTCTATTTTTGTCTTTTTTTCACAAGTGTATTTGTGTCTTACTGCAATGGCAGATTTTTTCAGTCGTTTTAAACCAGTTTTTTTACTTGAAACTAGTAACAAAATCTACTTGTATTACAGATACGAACATTCTCTGAACACAAGTCTTATCCAGTGTTGCTTCTCAAGTGCATTTATCTCTTTTTAAGGGGATTTTCTTTTGAGTCTGAACTGATACTTGAGTCTGGTATCTCCAGACCAGAGATGTTGTACATATGACGTATAAAATGGTTAGTTTAAAAAAATATTGTTGGTTTAACTTAAAAAAGTAAGTAACCTGGTTGCCATAAAATTTTAAGTTGATTGAACTGGAAAAAGTGAGTTAATACAATGAAGGAGATTCATTTAACCATCAGAAACTCAAAATAATAAGTTATCTGAACTAAATAAATTATTTAAGTTAATTTGACAAAAGAAAAAATGTTGTGATAACAAATCTTGAAAAAAATTTTTTTTTACAGTGTACACTGTAAAAAAAATATTGATGGTTTAACTTAAAAAAGTAAGTAACCTGGTTGCCTTAAAATTTTAAGTTGATTGAACAGGAAAAAGTGAGTTAATACAATGAAGTAGATT